GTACTGGTACCAAAACAGAGATATAGATCAATGGAACAGAGCAGAGGTCTCGGAGGCAACACAACATATCTACAACCATCTGATCTTTGACAAACCAGACAAAAACAAGCAATGGGGAAAGGATTCCCTGTTCAATAAATGGTGTTGGGAAAGCTGGCTAGCCATGTGCAGAAAGCAGAAACTGGACCCCTTCCTGACACCTTACACTAAAATTAACTCCAGATGGATTAAAGACTTAAACATAAGACCTAACACCATAAAAACCCTAGAAGAAAACCTAGGCAAAACCATCCAGGACATAGGTGTAGGCAAGGACTTCATGACCAAAACACCAAAAGCATTGACAACAAAAGCCAAAATAGACAAATGGGACCTAATCAAACTCCACAGCTTCTGCACAGCAAAAGAAACAATCATTAGAGTGAATCGGCAACCAACCGATTGGGAAAAAATTTTTGCAGTTTACCCATCGGACAAAGGGCTGATATCCAAAATTTACAAAGAACTATTACAAGAAAAAAACTAACAAGCCCATTCAAAAGTGGGCAAAGGATATGAACAGACACTTTACAAAAGAAGATATACATGAGGCCAACAAACATATGAAAAAATGCTCATCATCACTGGTCATCAGAGAAATGCAAATCAAAACTACATTGAGATACCATCTCACGCCAGTTAGAATGGCAATCATTAAAAAATCTGGAGACAACAGATGCTGGAGAGGATGTGGAGAAATAGGAACACTTTTACACTGTTGGTGGGAGTGTAAATTAGTTCAACCATTGTGGAAGACAGTGTGGTGATTCCTCAAGGACCTAGAAATAGAAATTCCATTTGACCCAGCAATCCCATTACTGGGTATATATCCAAAGGATTACAAATCGTTCTACTATAAGGACACGTGCACACGAATGTTCATTGCAGCACTGTTTACAATAGCAAAGACCTGGAACCAACCCAAATGCCCATTGACAATAGACTGGATAGGGAAAATGTGGCACATATACACCATGGAATATTATGCAGCCATCAAAAACGATGAGTTTGGGTCGTTTGTAGGGACATGGATGAACCTGGAAACCATCATTTCAGCAAACTGACAGAAGAGCAGAAGATCAAACACCGCATGTTCTCACTCATAGGCGGGTGTTGAACAGTGAGAACACATGGACACAGGGAGGGGGGCACTACACACTGGGGTCAGTTGGGGGGAAATAGGGGAGGGACGGTGGGGGGTGGGAAGCTAGGGAGAGATAGCAAGGGGAGAAATGCCAGATGTAGGTGATGGGGAGGAAGGCAGCAAATCACACTGCCATGTGTGTTCCTATGCAACAATTTTGCATGTTCTTCACATGTACCCCAAAACCTAAAATGCAATAAAATAAATAAATGGGAAAAAAAAAAAAAAAAAGAAAATAGTGGTCATTACTACACAACAGGGTCAAAAGTCCTGGATTAGAATCTCAAATCTACTACTCTCCACACCAAGTTTTATAAATTATAAATCTATCTTATCATCTGAAAAAAAGATACTATCTACCCTCTCAAACAATGGTTGTAAGCATTAAAAAGACATAAAAATAAATTCCCCAATATATTCTGAAGCATTAACTATTATATCAATAATCTAGACTTATAGGAATTTATAGAGAACTCACTTTAAAAAAAAATCTGCAATCACAACTATATGAGGCAGTTTAATATCTTATATAAAACATAGGTTTTGCAATCAGAACATCTAGGTCTGAATCACAAGCATCCGCCACGTAGCTCTATATAACCTCAGACAAAACTACATTAGCAATCTGTCTCAGGCTCTTCTTATATAACGGTTACTACTACCCACATATCATAGGTTTATTATAAGGAAATGAACTATTAGAAATATATAAAACACAGGACATAAACATCCATTAAGTTATAGATTCTACTGTTATGACATGCACGATATAAATACAACAAACTGGTCAGCTGAAGATAATTATTTCATAGCAAAATAAGAGTTCCAATCAATTAAATGGTTTCAAAAGTTGAATGGAATTAGGATGAAATGAAACCAAAGAAAACTTCTGGAAAAGTTTAGGCAGACAGGGTGAGATGCTTAAGGTCACAAAAACTAACCATTCCCCAAACTTATTATTTCTATACAGAAGTCATGGAACACACGCTATTAACAAAATAAGCTAGGTGTTAGTTAAGTATTAAGAAATAAAAATCATACAAAAGCCAAATATTAAAATAAAACTTGAGGCCAGTCGCAATGGCTCTACATCTATAATGCCAACACTCTGGGAGAAGGAGGGAAGGTTGCTTGAGGCCAGAAGTCTGAGGCTGCAATCAGTTATGACTGTGCCACTGCCACTGCACTCCAGCCTGGGCAACAGAGTGAGACCCTGTTTTAAAAAAGGCTTATTTATTTCAAATCCTGCTAATCAGGGCAGAAAATCATTGTCAAGGTATGGAGATATTTTTACACAGGGTTAGCCATTATAAAACAAAAGCAAAAAACAAGAAGAATGCTAAGTTGCTGCTTCTGAAGTATAAAATATAAGTGATTTCAGATTTGGCCCCAAGAAGTATATTTGGTCTTTGATTATCTTTTTTCTTTCTCTTTATACTGTAGCACTTCCCCCATCTACTCAGCTGGGGAATGGAACGAGTGAGACTTGGAGAAGGTCTAACTATATTTTATTTTGTTAAATTTTCCCAAGTTAGGATTGGACCAGCACATTACATGGCTCCCAAGATCTTAATTCTGCCCACCAAACAAGGTCTCTTATATTAAGTTACCCTAGAGTTCCTAAAAGGCCACTAGTAGACTATTGCCAAAGGCAATACTCAATTCAAGCAACATTCGAAATAACAGCTAACACTTATACTGTACCTATCATGTGTTCTCAACAACTCTATGAAGTAGTGACTAATAATTTCTCCATTTTAATGATAAGGGCACTGAGGAATAGAGAAGTTGCCCAATATTATCCAACTAGTAAGACAGAAAGAGAGATCTAAAGGTATGCAGAACAATTCCAAAGTCCACTATCACCTAATTGGTTATATGGCAAACATCCACTAACCTGCAACTCTCATAAAGGAGTAATAATTACTATTTTCAACTTTGAACACATGGTTTATTATTGATATTTAACCAACTCATTCATTAAATTCCAACCTAAAAGCTCTTCAGAAGTTTTTTTCCAAGTCTCTCAGGCAGAATTCATTACATCATTAGACTTCAAGGTTAATAACATCAGAAAATAATTTAGCAAAAGGCCGTGAGTAATTCAAAACTCATTTGCTGAAAACCCCTATTTTAAATCTGTCTATATATCTCATTAACGCCCTGGTTTAATTTTTGAACACCCTATAACTATCCCCACCAGCACACACATATAAAAAGCTTATTTAAAAAAATAAATAAATAAAAACACTAGGTTCTATTTTGTAACCCAGTTCATTTTTGTCCTTGGATAAGAATTCAAGTCAAATGAAATATGTCTGGATGAATTCTCCTGGCTATCCTGTATAATTTATTAAGTTGGAGAAAAGATATGTGGGTGGTAACACATTTATGTTTATACAAACTTAAACAAGTTCAATGTGTATAATTTAAATTGCATTATTACTTCATTTTAAAGATATATTTCCAAGGAAAAAACGAAAAGAAACTGCCATTTCTGGCCAGTAGAAGAATGTTTAAGATTAAAAATTGGGACATCTGGTTTCTGTGCCTTGAGGTTAAGAAGCTATTAATTGGCTCAATAAAATTAAATTGATTGCTAAATTTGAGTCCAATTTCTCACATAAGGAGAATCATTAGCTACTGACTACATTAACTTACTTTCCATTTCTACCTACTATCCCTTAAACAAAAGAAGGGGTGTCGGGACATGGAGAGAGCTACTTCATGCATAAAAATTTTAAGACTGTAAACCTTCTTAAACGCAGCCCTAGAATGGAATGTGAATGACTGTACATGGCAGAACTACATTAATCCTATTTGGAACTGTTCACTGTTAAGTAACTTCTTTAAATGCAAAACAGTTTCATTCTGAAAATACAGTCTTTCTCCTTAAATTAAAAAGCATCTAGTGAGTAATTCAAGGTTGGCAATAATAACTACTATTGAGGTATCCATTTCCCATATATTTGAATTTTCTTATTGGATCCTTCACTTATTCAGTGTGAAGGCAGTAAAACCTGCTCCTTATTTCTAAATATCTGCACAATATCTGAATCACATATCTTAAGAACAAATTCTTCCTTCCAATGGTAAGATTTAAGGCATTCCTTTCTCTTAGCATTCCTTAAAATAGAGATGACAAACTAGGGTTACCAATCATCCCAGTTTGCCTGAGATAAGGGATTTCCTGGAACATAAGACTTTCAGTGCTAAATCGAAAATAAGTACAAAGAAAATTGGGTTAGCTGGTCAAACTATCACAAACTCAAATCCCTTGGAGAGCCAAGCCATGGCAACTAACATCCATTAGTGGACACGTGAATGGGTAACTGCAAAGCACATGTCTCAGTTTATTTCCATCTTTGGCTTAGAGAAGCTAAACAACAATGACTGAACCCTTCTCATCCTAAACCTATGCTGACTTAATATTTTATTCATTTGTTTGATATTAATTACGAAGCATCAGGGGCCTACATTAGCTTGATGTATTGAGTATCTGAGAGATCTAAGCAGTTCCATACAGATTATACTAGACAAAACTCTCTCCATGAGTAGTCAAGCATCCCTAAACTTCAGTTCTGTAGATAGCAAAAATTAAGTATAATGAACCACAGTCAAACATTGCTCTACCAACTCCTACTGATTTCCGCTCTCTGGAGTATTATACTACCACTGCCAAGAAGTAGGGAAATCAGTCACTGGGTTCTCAAACTGGCCATGCTCCAAAGTTATTGTTCAATTCTTAATTCCAAGGTAATGATGAAATAATGGGCCTTGTGACACAAGCTGTTTCCTCTGCCAGTCAGATACTTACACTCTCTATTCCTCTGGCCAATTCAAACAGAAGTGCCAAAGATTCACCAGCAGCTATTCTCATGTTTACATCATCACAAGAGAGGAGGCTTGGAAGCTTATGGAAATGCCTAAAAAATAGTTAGTCATTACTATGTGAATACAACCAATTATGTCCACTAAATGGTGCTTTTATAAAATATGAAACTAAAAACACATACATCTCAAGCTTTTTCTTCACTTCATTGATTGGGCATATGGTCAGCAGTAGTGTCCATGCAAGCAGCGAGCTGATATGAAGCACTGTATTAGGGGTGCTGCAAACAACAGTAGTGTCTTTCTCTTTGAGATAGGACTTAGTGAAGATATTTTCCAGACATTCCAGAGTTGAGTACAGTTCCTAATGCATAAGAATATGAAGTAAGGTAGCCATCTTAAATTATAAATAACTGCAGATAAGCAGAATCAAAGGATTTTTACTTACAGTAATGTCATCTGTGGCAATAAAACTGCAAACACCAAAGCAAGTTGCACACTGAAAAAACCATAACAAAATATATACACGTTAATGATTTTATTTATTATTCTACATCTTCCTGCTTTTATAACTCAACTTGAAAATTTTCTCAGCAATGTGATACATTAGGTCCCAAGCACTGTATATAAAAGAGGTTAGGAGAGAAATAATACTGAACTAAGATCAAAGGAAGTGGGTTTCAGCTCAAGCTTTGCTACCAAATTCACAGTATGACTTTAACAGTGATTCTGTTCATCCTTGGTCTTCTTTTACTGATCTGTAAAATCAAAAGCTTGCAAATGAATTACATAATTTCTAGAACAATTGCACCTCCATAATCTATGATTTAAACCACTGAATTACTTTTATGAGTCTATGTCAAGTAAAGGATTCTGAAAGGGTGAACGACCCCTCATTTCCTTTCTGTATGCTTTACAGATGCTTAACAGATCATTTCAAACTTCAGTTGTAATTCAAAGATAGAAAGGTTAGACATGTGAGATAAAGAAACCTACCCTATTAAAAACCTTTAAAACACTTTTAAATTCCATTGGTTTTTAAGCTGTTAAAACTATATTCTTTTGTTCTTATGAAGACTCTACTATTAAAACTTCTAAAAGAAATCAACTTCTGGCCAGGCACAGTGGCTCACTCCTATAATCCCAGCACTTTGGGAGGCAAAGGCGGGTGGATCACAAGGTCAGGAGTTCAAGACCAGCCTGGCCAACATGGTGAAACCCCATCTCTACTAAAAATACAAAAATTAGCCAGGCATAGTGGCAGGCACCTATAATCCCAGCTACTCAGGAGGCTGAGGCAGGAGAATCACTTGAAACCAGAAGATGGAGATTGCAGTGAGCTGAGGTCACACCACTGCACTCCAGCCTGGGTGAAAGGGCAAAACACCATCTCAAAAATAAAAATAAATAATAATAAAAAGAAATCAGCTTCTAAGAAATAAGCACACAAAAGAAGAAATTTCATAAAATTTAAATAACTGTCTGTTCAAACTTCCCACCTAAGGAAGGATCTCATTAATTCAGATTTCACTTATTCTGGAATATGCTGAAAAGAAGCTGGGAATCCTATAATTGCCTTTTGTTTGGGGAGGGGAAGGGCTAAACAAAAGTGAGTACACTATATGATTACAAAGGTAAAGCTTATTGAATAAAACACACTCAGAACACAACACTTACACAAACCATGTACCTGCAACATAAACAGAAGCCTTCGATTCTCAGAACATTTGTTTTAATAAATTAATCCATATAAAAATAGAATTTGTAATCTGAGATTTTATTATTCACCACTTCCCCTTTCTCCACATTTTGTCACTCAAATTCCCTCAGGTTTTTCCAAGAATTATTACAGCTTTAGGTCTTTAAAGTCACCACTGACATCAGGCCGAGGTTTCAGCCAGTTCTGTTCCAGTAATATGAGGATTATCTATGATATTAATCTGCTTGGTGTCACTATTTTATTTTCATTATATCATATTGGTAAAAATTGGACACTGTTAAAATTTAAAGTAGCCTAAGCATTAAAGGGAATTTTCAATCCATAATCCCTCTGCTAAGTAAGCACCAGAAGCAAGGCTATATCGCTCCTTTTGATGACTCTAAGTAAAACAGCCAATTAAAAACTAGAACTGGCTGGGTGCGGTGGTTCACACCTATAATCTCAACACTTTGAGAGACCAAGGCAGGAGGATCACTTGAGCCCAGGAGCTCAAAGCCAGCCCGGGCAATAAAGCAAGACCCATCTCTACAAAATATTTAAAATGAGCCAGACATGGTGGCACATGTCTCTAGTCCCAGCTACTCAGGAAGCTGAGGCAGGAAGATAACCTGAGCCCAGGAGGTCGAGGCTACAGAGAGCCATGATTGTGCTACTGCATTCCAGCCTGGGTAACAGAGTGAGACCCTGTCTGAAAAAACACCTACGACTGCCTAAATTTTATAAGGATTCCATCTGCTAAATGGGGAGGCTGAAGAGGTTTTTTAAAAATTCACAGCAACTCGGAAGTATGAAAAAGAAAATGCCTTTAAATGACCAACAAACTCATATACAACCAAAATTAAGTGACTGCTCCAAATATCTACCCAGCAGTGTTTTCTGTCATTCTAGTACTTCGAAATTACACCCATAGTTCCGTATGATTTAAAAGTTGCACAAATTCACCCAAAAAGGTGAAAAGAAAAAGAAGCAAAAGCTAATTAAATATTTTAGGATTACCAACTACTGGAGGGCACAGAGATTACTGTGACGTCATCAAACTCCAATTTCTTGGCCTCCAGGGCAAACAGCTGGACTATTCTCTGCCTCCATATGGCTGGTAAACCAAGGAACTGGATGCAAATATGAAGTGCTCTGGCTGAGTCTGCCACCTAGCTACCGTGCTGCCATATGGAGAGGACCTAGAGGTGGGCGGAGCTGCAATGGAGGCCTGGGGTTCCAGCCAACTTGCATTGGGTGGTGATGATAAAAACAAGAAATAAATTTTTACCAAGCAACTTAGACAAAGATTAATGTTACTTACCTGAAGTAATACTAAAAGGAATCTGATTTGAATGATCAATATTAAAAGTATTAAAATGTTTCAAGCTTAAAACTGATCCACTTGTTTAAAAAAACAGCTTAAGATCACGTTATTTTTCCAAATCCACTAAGACCACCTCAGATGTTTCTTTGACACAGTAAAACATGTCCATATGACCATTTCTATCACTTATTAGCACACCAAAACCAAAAAAATTAAAACCTCAAAAATTCAAAATCTAAAGCCAAGTGTTATGAGGTAAATATCAAACTATTAGAGAATGAAAGCTTTCTGAAACCCCAAAATTAGAAGATTATTTCGCAAGTCAGAATTTCAGTTTCCTATGTCTACCCAAATCCACGTAGAATTATCTTTTTTTTTTTTCTGAGACAGAGTCTCACTCCGTCACCAGGTGCCAGGCTGGAGTACGGTGGCGTGACCTCGGCTCATTGGAACCTCCGCCTTCCGAGTTCAAGCAATTCTCCTGCCCCAGCCTCCCAAGTAGCTGGGACTACAGGCGCGCACCACCACGCCCAGCTAAGTTTTTTGTATTTTTAGTAGAAACGGGGTTTCACCATGTTGGCCAGGATGGTCTCGATCTCTTACCTCGTGATTCACCCTCCTCAGCCTCCCAAAGTGCTGGGATTACAGGCGTGAGCCACCGCGCCCGGCCAGAATTATCTTTTTTAAGATACAGTGTGTGGCTCTGTTGCTCAGGCTAGAGTTCAGGGGCGTTGATCATAGCTCACTGCTGTCTCAAACTCCTGGACTTAGGGGATCCTTTCTCTTGACTCAACCTCCTGAGTAGCTGGTATGGTACTAAAGGTGCACCATGTCTGGGTGTCATGACTAGACAGATCTGTAAATGTAAATATCTTATACTTACAGTTTGCCTAACCTGGATACTAGCTGCCCCATCGCAAATGATTTTCTTTAGGATTGGTCCAAGAGTTTTCAAAATCTCTTCACTTTCAATTCCAGGGCCCAGTTGAATACAGAGAACAGATGCTAATGCTGCGGCTGCACGTTGCTCATCACTCTTACCTATAAAAGCAGCCAAGATGCAATCATGATAGTCTAACTTACTAAGACAGTAATTTCCCAAATTTGATCAATGATAAAATAGCATTTACCATTTTTGAAACCCTATGCTCCAGGCTTTGACATAAGTTACAAACTTAGGCTAACAAGCTCAAAGTATAGAAACAGACAGACAGACCTCACTCAAATCCTAGATCCCATTTATTAGCCAAATAGCGATTACTCTTATCCTCTAAACAAAGTTCCTCATCTGTAATATGAAGATTAGTATCTATCTTATGGGAGTATTTTAACAGTTCAACTAAATGTATTTCAAGCAAATTTCTGTCTTCAACCTCCTTAATGAACTGATGTAAACAGTGCTCAAATTGCCTTTAAATTACTCTCCTAAGCATTTCAGATGTACACAGCCCATCAGGTAAACCTTCGGGGTTTCCCACCAAAATTTTTTTTTAAATAAATAAGGGATTAAAAATAAACAACTCTTTAAAACTATAAAAAACATATTTATTAGACTACATTTGAATTTATTAACTTTTTTTTTTCCAGACGGTCTCACTATCAAGCTGGAATGCAGTGGTGCAAAAAATACACTCATATAAAGGTAAATATAAATTAACTCTTAAGAACTGTATAGGTTGGGCACGGTGGCTCACACCTATAATCCCAGCACTTTGGGAGGCCGAGGCGGGTGGATCACAAGGTCAAGAGATGGAGACCATCCTGGTTAACAAGGTGAAATCCCGTCCCTACTAAAAATACAAAAATTAGCTGGGCATGGTGGCACGCACCTGTAGTCCCACCTACTCGGGAGGCTGACGCAGGAGAATTGCTTGAACCCAGGAGGCGGAGGTTGCGGTGAGCCGAGATCACACCATTGCACTCCAGCCTGGGTAACAAGAGCGAAACTCCGTCTCAAAAAAAAAAAAAAAAAGAACTGTATATACCCCAGGTACAGGGCAAACACTAAACTATTACCTAGCAAATTAAAATTTTATTTAAAATGCAGACTAAAATGGAATTTTTAAAGGTCATCTAGTCCAACAACCAGTATAGCATATAATTTGAATCTGAAACACCTTTAACAGAGCCATTGTTATCTTTAAAAAGCTGGCTCTGCTATCACCTATACCAATAACAACATATTTAAGCTTAGACCCACCTCAGTTTTCCTAGGCCTCTCTTTATTCAATACAATGGAAGAGGTGAATTTTATCAAAGGTTTCACTTACAACAAAATGTTTTTGGTCAGGTAAAATGAGAAAAATAAGGACATAAAGCTTAGTTCATTCAATTTCTTAGAAGTGCATTTCTACATTTTTGGTGCTAGAATATTTTGCTAATAAAATAGTGATAGTGGAAGAAACTTATTTTCATAATGTTCTTACTTGGCGGAATAAGTTGGCAAACACCAAATCTTATTTTGTTTTGTTATAATAGAAACCAAATATTACTTTGTTGCCCAGGTGGTCTCCAACTCCGGGATTCCAGCAATCCTCCCAAATTGGTCTCCCAAAATGCTAGGATTACAGATGTGAGCCACCATGCCTGGTAACAAATCTCTTTAAATTTGGTGGTTCCTAAAACTGCTAAGTCTGGTAACACTGAACTTTAAGATCTAATGACATTATCTTTAAGATCTCTCTTTGGTTTTAAAAAATTCTATCACTGTAACAATTTGAATTCCAGAATTTCTATTACGAAGTTCTAGAATTCAAATATTCCAAGGGATATCCTGAAAATGATGTAATTTACAGGTACGATCAATGTTTTAAATAAGTGCAAGGGAAAAATGAGCTAACTGTCTGACATACACTTACAAGCTTATCTGACACACACTTTCAAGATTTTCTGGTATAACAAAAGAATGACAATCACCTCTTCTGATACAAAAAAGAATGATGACAATCAACCCCAATCCTTCTTAGTTTCAAGCTAATTTTTTTACATAAAACAAAAACAAGTCTCATTCTGAACTATAACAAGATGGTACACTCCTTGACATTAGAAAGTTTTAAGAGTGGGCCAGTGTTCCAGTGCCATTACTGAATGTTATGGAAAAATAGGTAACACACTCCTTATTAGTTCTGTGTCTGTGACTTAAAAATAAAGCCATTACCTTTTTTCAGGCAGCGTTCAATACTGTCAGTTAAAGTCATTCTTCTTTCCAGAATAAATTCATACAGCATTTTTGAAGACAGCGCATTTTTAATACCTTCAAGAGCTGCTTGCCTTGTCTTTGCACTATTTAAAACCCAATGTAGGAGAAAGATCCAGTTGGAGTATATAATAAATAACTTTTTAAAAATCTAATATTTCCTTCTAAACTTTATCTATGTGTAGACTTTTTAAATCTCGTTGTCATCAAGCTCTAAGCATCTGTCAATAATATAATTTAATATCCATCTATGATTCACCTTAATACACAAAACACTTAGGCTGCCTTATATCATGGCATTTTTCTTGGTTTGATAGCCACAACGTTAAATGTCTTCATAATATTTTATTGTTTCAATCAACAAGTATAGCTTCAATGCAGTGTTTTCCTATATTACATATTTAAGTAAATTTACACTTTTTAAAAAAAACTACAAAAGTCTAGAATTGTATCTTCAGGACTTTTTAATTCTATTAAGGTCAGATCAGGAGCTATAGTGAAGAAAAACAATAAGCTTTGACATTTTTTCATATCATAACAACATTACCAGACAAGCAGCTTAAAGTAAGCTTTCATTATCATTTTTGGTTGAAGATTAACTTTTAATTCAACAAATTCATTTCTATTATAATCAAATAGTTACGTATATGCTATTATGCTGGAACAATGACTAATCTGACTCAATCTAAATTCTAATGGCATGTTACTACCCACATTAAAGTCCAACGGAACAAGAAACATTATCCAAAGCAAACAAATTAAGCTTTAAGAAAAATATATTGCTATTATCTAAGAGCTGCACAAATTATATATATGTAAGGTAGCTGATCAGAATCACACAGAATACTCACTACTCTTAGCTTTTTAATAAGATCAAGCACAGAATCACACAGAATGGAGTTTCCCGTAATGCCTACCTCTTATCCAGGGTTAGGTCAATTAATCCTTTCAACTTATATTCTAGGTCTTCTTGAGTTCCTTCCTCATCAAGGACTTCTGGTCCTAAGAAATAATATAAACCAACCACTGTAATTTAAAAGAAAAAAGGCGGACAGGGAATAATAGTATACCTCAGCTACAAGAATTCTTCCATCTAAAACATTTTATCTGAAGTTGCAAATTTAAATGTAAAACTCATACCATCTTCAGCAAAACTGGAAGGATCGCTATAACCACTGCAATGGCTCATTGTTTCAATTGATGCATCTTCATCACTAAAAGGTTGAACATTTCGATGCTGGCCACCTAGTAGGTAAAAGAGGAAAGAGGTAAATTATTTAATTGCCATATATTTAAATATTAAACTTTGGAATTTTTAAGTTTACTTAAGAGAAATCCAGCAATAAAACCAGACTTATTTTAGAAAAAGAGATAACTGTATCACAAATGAACATACTTAAATATTCCTAAACCAAGTCAGTTCACCTACTATGTATTTCAAAGCGCCAATGATACATCAACTATATGCATCAGTCTCCTAACAAGAGGCACTCATTTTTTATGACACAAAAACTGATATGAAGATGGGCACAGTGGCTCCCGCCTGTAATCCTAGCACTTTGGGAGGCCCAAGGTGGGTGGATCATTTGAGGTCGGGAGTTTGAGACCCACCTGGCCAACGTGGTGAAATCCCGTCTCTACTAAGAATACAAAATTTAGCCTAGTGTAGTGGTGCATGCCTGTAGTCCCACCCACTCCGGAGGCTGAGGCAGAAGAATCGCTTGAACCCAGGGGGCAGAAGTTGCAGTGAGCCAAGATCATGCCATTGTACTCCCTGCCTGGATGACAAGAGTAAAACTGCGTCTTGAAAGAAAAGTACCAATGCTGTTACTAAAAAAATAAAATTTTTTTTAAAACTAGAATCTTTCTTCCAACTTCATTAACTTCAGGAATAAATACACAGTCACTTAGGGATTATGTATTAATAAAAGGACTGCCCAGTCATGAACTACATTCAGCACTAAGTTAAATTAAGTCCCAAATTCTGCCCCAAAAGTGACTCTGAGTCACCTAATTAACCTCTGAACCTAATTCCCTTTCGAAATCAAAGTTCGTATGTTCAAAAGCCACCACCTTAAGGGTTTTGTTTTTTTAATCCTCTAAATTTAAGCCTGTGGCTGTTGGGCTGTTTTTTTTATTGTTTTATGGAGTTGTCTTTTTTTTTTTTTTAATCAAAACAGAGAATTTAGCCGATTTTTAAATTAACATAACAAGCAAGTGGCCTTCAGATTTGCTTGCGTGGTGCCAAAGTAGTAAAGCATAAAGATTAAAAGTAATAAAGCCAAATCTCAAAATTTCTTAGAGTGCTTAGGACAAGAAGAAACAAAGAACTATGATATCATACTCTATTTCTGGATCTGTCTTCCTCGTGTTTATGACTGAAGTCATGGCAATAGATGAGTGTCATCTGATTAATTTTACATTTATTCACAAGTCAGTTCACAGTTTTTCTTTTTCACAGCCTCTTTCTAAGAGTATTCCTCTTATGCAGCTCTTACTGTGCTCCCCTAACTCATCAGTATTAATGATTTCTAAGATTTAAGGGAAAGAAAAAAACACATACATACATATACATATATATCTCAAGAAAAAGAACCCTGTTATAAATGTCTGATATCTAGGTCAAACTCACCCACCTTGTGATTCTAAGTACCATTAAAGAGATGGTACTCTAGGCAAATAAAGTACTTATTTCTAGAGGGCTTATTAACAAGGTTTTGTACTTTCTTGAAAATATTCTCTTTGAATTAAGTGCTATGACATACCTGTATAAAAGAAGTCAATTTTATTAGCTTCCTAGAACTCTCCACTAAGATAAAAATAAAGACTTTAAATGGAAAACTCATTAATAAAGACAATTTGGTTATATAGGGACGACCTCATTTGAATTCCACTTCTTTTTGATGTCACTTAAAAATACCAATTAGGAGCCGGGCGCGGTGGCTCAAGCCTGTAATCCCAGCACTTTGGGAGGCCGAGGCGGGTGGATCACAAGGTCAAGAGATCGAGACCATCCTGGTCCACATGGTGAAACCCCGTCTCTACTAAAACTACAAAAAATTAGCTGGGCATGGTGGCATGTGCCTGTAATCCCAGCTACTCAGGAGGCTGAGGCAGGAGAATTGCCTGAACCCAGGAGGCAGAGGTTGCGGTGAGCCGAGATCGCGCCATTGCACTCCAGCCTGGGTAACAAGAGCGAAACTCCGTCTCAAAAAAAAAAAAAAAAAAAAAAAAAAAATACCAATTAGGTAAGTGGCTTGTAAGTAAGCAAGAGTTTGTGCAATTTTCCATCTCTTCTACTCGACTATTATTTATTATTTATTAAATATTCACATAGGACCAAGTTAAAGTTAAAAAGTCAATCTCATCCCCATACGCCCCCAGTTCCACTTCTGAGAGGCAACCACGGTTAACAAGTTGTAGCACACACTTCCAAAGATATTCAAAGCATGTAGAGTGCTTTATATTAATCAAAGAATTATTTTCCATTTGTTTACATATGCCAAAATTCAGTGGTGAAATGGATCTTTCAGTGAAAAGGTAGCAGCTATAAAGACGATAAAAGGTCACAAATGAGCTTTGAGGCAAAATTTAAAAGGCAATCCCCACACAGCAACCAGAGGCCTGTATATATAGGTACTGGAAGCACAAAGAGGGAAGGAGGCTTGCCCAGAAACTTTAGACCGGAATAAAGGTTTGCGCGTGATTGAGGCCATAACTAACATCGTTACTACTTTCAAAATGGCTTTTGCTTGCTGTTTCTTTATTTCCATTTCATCAACAAAAGGGTAAAACAATAAAATAAATATCTTCTAGACAAAATTCAAATGTTTGATTCAGGTGAGGAAAAGCTAAAACCCAGTGGTAAAAAGTATCCTCAGGCCACGCACTGTCCCAGCACTGTGGGAGGCTCCTGACCAGCTTGGCCAACATAGACCTTGTCTCTACAAAAAATTTAAAAATTAGCCAGGAGTGGTGTTACATGCCTGGAGTCCTAGCTACAAGAGGCTGACGAGGGAGAACTGCTTGAGCCCAGGAATTAAGAGGTTGCAGTGAGCTATGATCACACCACACTGCACTCTATCCTGGGCGACAAAGCCAGACCCCCTTTTTCCCTTAAAAGTATCCTCAATTCACATAGAGCAACCAGAGGCCACAATAAACTGATTACATATTCTACATCTTGATAAAGAATGAATTTCATGAACATGAAGAGCATGCAAAATAAAGAGGCACCTAAAAAAATGCGGGGAAATGCTGTTAATAAGAATCCCTCCCTATGGTTAATTATTAAATGTTTAATAAATGATCACGAGTTTTTGAGCTTTTTAAATGCCAGTTTCCAATAAACTTTAAAAAGATAACCTGCATATTTACTTTTCTTATGAACAAAGGACTATCATTCTGAGTGGCAACCGTGGCAGAGTGACAGCTGTGTCCAAAAATACCTAATGGCTAACAGCTCCAGTGTGATGACGTCGGAAAATACTCCAAGATTTAACTCCTGTTTAAATTTCTACATAAAATGATATTACCCAGTTTAATATCCCATTTAAGTTTAGTGGGGTCTCTCCTAGAAGGGCCTTCCGATTGGAGTCCTTTTTCTTAACCATATGATAAGTAGAAAACCATAAATTCAGTTAAGCACCTACCCATCCCATCCAGGAAAAGCTTCAACTTTGTAGCGAGGGCACAGTAACCTCAACTTTTAGCCAATTGCAACCTGAGGTCTTCACCACCCTGCCTATCTGGGACTCACTGCAGAGAACATACAGAATGCAGCACAAAGAGAACGAGTTTCTTTCCCCCAGGAACAAGAGGTCGCCTCGGCTGGTCGCAGAGGGGCTGGAGGCTCGGGACTTCTACAGGTGCCAATTAGGGGCAGGAGCACAGCCTAATGGCCCCAGGCCTCCGACGCCTCCGCCTGGTCAGGTAGACACGCGGGACGGAAAGCCTCTCCAGCGCCTCTGCGTCACCCGGGGCCCACCGCGCAAGGCCCAGGCCGCGTGACGCAAGAGCCTGTCCAAACCCGCCGGACGTTTGGCATCCCCGGGAGCTCCATGTTGGAGCCGGGGGGTCAACGGCGGCCAGTGACAGCACGGACTCAACTCCCAGCTCTGCCCTACTCGTGGTTGGGGAAAGGTCGGGCGAGGTCGCCGCAGAAGGAACTCTAAGGATAGTTCATTTCTCGCCCAGCTCTCGGTCAGCCCCTGTCCCGACACCCTCTCAGGCGCACGGACCCATTCCTCCCCGCCCCCAAGGCCGGTGCCCAAGAGTCCGGTTCGCACGCCAGATCTAAACCGCGCAGTGCGCGGCGCCCAAAGCACGCTGGGAATTGTAGTTCAGTAGCCAAACCACGCACCCTGGAAACGCAAACATGTACAGCAGAGCGAGAACTACAACTCCCACTGTGCCCAAGCATGGGAGACTCGCCAGTCTGGCCGGTAACCGGCATGCCGGCGGCGGGGATACCCCTTACCTGCCGTCGCCGCCGTCGCAGCAGCTGCCCCTGAGCCGCCGCCGCCAGCACTGCCACCGCGGTGGGGAGTGTTCCGCTTCTTGTTCTTCGGCATCGTGGGACGCCCGGTGCCGCCTAGAGTCGGAGCTTAGCGAGGATCAGCCGATGGAGCTGCACTTTTTACTCGTGCGTCTGTGCGGCGGGCAGCTGAGAGGCGAGTCTTCGGCCAACAACAGAGGCGAGAAGCGGCGGGGGTAAGAGTGGGCGGTGGCGGCAGCAGAAATCCCCGTGAAGAGCTGTGATCGGAAACGATACATGTTTCTCTCTAGCGCGGGAGCTAAGGCGGGGCGGTTGAGGACACGACGCCTTAAGTAGCAAGACCGCCGCCTGTCGTCACCATGTGTGGGCGGGACTTGAGCGCCCTCAGCCAATCCCTGCACACCTCCTCACTGGAATCCTCCTTCGGGCGGGGCGCGGATCCTGCCTACAAATCCCATGCGGCAAGTCTTCCCTCCGTGCCCGGGGAGTCGGTCCTCGTGGCCTCACTGAATTCTGGGAAACGTAGTAAGGCTGGAGCCGGGGCCTCCCAGCCCTCTCTTACCAACGGGCTTTTCTGCCCACTTGCTTTTTCCCGGTGACCCCACCCCTGCCTCGGTGCGGCCCCCGCCTTGGAACTGGGTGAGGTAGGCACCGGCGATGCGCAATGGGGCAAGTACGCTCGATGACGAGAGCCGGCTTCCAGGTGGCACCTACGCAATAACCTTTGCTCCTCTTTCTCCGGAGGCTC